ACTGAAACATTTCCCGCTTTTCTGGTGTAGATTCCATAACGAAGTCAGTATACAATCTGTCCTTTTTCAAGGGGTTTTATTATAAACACACCTCAATGTGTGTGAACTTTTGTAGTGATATCATCATTATCATCATTATTATTATTATAAATAAATAAAAATAATAATAATGAAAATTACAAATAAAATAACATAAAACGTATAAAATAAATAAAAAATAAAATAACAAAAACTGTTCCAGACGGAAATAAAGACATCACGCCAAGAGATGTTAAAGTCAATCTCTTCCCCTCGAACCTTGATATGGGCAACACGTGTCCGACTACTCTTTTTGATATGGTAAATAATAACACGGAGTAATTTCTCCCTTTTATTACATGTACCATAAAACAATTGTAACCTAGAGAATGCACACACAATATAAATAAATCGTTTGAAATTAACATACAATTTACCATGCTTTTCCTGTTATTTCTATACGTTTTATTTCCTGTCAAGTAAGATTTTATCTCCGTGAACACGAAACTAATCACTGCTACTACCTTAAATGAGTTAGCGCCTACCCCCTTTGTACTCCATAAGTCCATAACGAAGCTATCACAAGGATGTAATTTATTCCCTGTTTTTAGCTTAAAAAACGCGGGGTCGTATTATACACAATAAAATACGGTAGAAAAACGTCATTGGGAAGAGAGGGTGAATGTCTGATAATTTTCTCAATTCCGTGACATTGTAACCACATTTCACCGATCTCATATACGTACACAATACAGTTTATCCAAGAACTCTATTAACAACCAAAAAAAAAAAATGACATTACTCAGTCAATACATTCAACGAACTTCTTGTATTCTTGTTATATAAAATTAATGGTAGTTGTTAATACTACGTTGTCTTTTCCTACTGGATTTTATTCTTTTAATGAAAATCGTGCGACTAAACGGTCGAATTACGAGCAGTCCAACAACAATATTTTATGTTATTGTATCGAATCCCGAATTTTGACGTTTAGTAAAACCCAGTGTAGAAGTATTCTTACAATATAAATATAAATATTTGTAGCTGTCAAACAAAGAAATAAACAAAGTAATTCGTCATTCAGGCGATTACTTTCTTTGATTTGATATTTTTTATGGCAGCCAATGCGGTTTCAATGACGTGCCGGTAGTGTAGTGGTTAACGGAGCGGTTGGGGAGGGGGGCGTGACACTAAGATATTTACTGTGTAAGAAGGTATTCATCTAAAAGATCACGGAATTCAATTTCGTATACTTCTTATATATATCCCGACGTGCTATATCATCCAGACATAGAGGAAGCGTCCGGTTAGCAAGGTTGAGTTTATATATATATATATATATATATATATATAATTAAGTTACGAAGAACTTGGTAAACCGAATGGGTAATTCCAAGGAGGATGAAATTTACCTGATGATCCGGAGTCATTTAAAAAGGATTTTGGTGAAATAAATTATTGTAATGGTACCTTAAAGTGGTCTGTTTTTCATTAATATATATATATATATATATATATATATATACACAACAGTCCTGGGGTCGGTGAATAAGTCGATGCCGGTTTTCAGTGTAGGGGCAAATCGGCAAATCAGTTTAAGAACTCGTCTGTGATATAGAATAAATTAATTATTTTTCTTGTAGCTGCGTTAGGTTACCAACAGCGACGTTGTTCCGTTATTGAGGATATTATTTAGTGATGCGACACTTGAGTCACTGGGGCCTCGGAGAAGAAACGAGACACGTCTTTTCCTTACTCTATCCTTTGTTATACATTCACCACCAAGCTGGCGTTAGAAGTAATGCCCCAACAGAGAAGATGGAGTAATCCCACATCTTTTCCCAAGAGCATTTGTGCCAAAGTAAACGCAGCTCTTTACCAAACTTGAACACAGTTCGGGCGATTTTCCTTTTTGCACCAATAATCGACCTGCCTATTTCATTTATTGCACTACGGTTTGTTTATTCAAAATTGTTTGAAAAAAATAACTGATAAAATACAATGAAAAACTTAGTAACAACAGGAAAAATACAGAATCGCTTGCAATCATTTTTTTATTCAAGAAAATTAAGTTATCTCCCTTGTTTGTAGTATTTCAATGTCAAGGGAGATAATCTTTTTTATGAATAAATACAAAATGATAAAGAAAAGAGAAGTCAATAAGAAAAATGTTTTACAATATTTTGGAAGAGATTAAATAACTTTTGTCAAGCGAAAATAAAGTTACAACAAATGTTATCAAATCTAACCTATTCAGGGTGTCTTCCACCCAGAGACCAGCGGTTTTATCGGGGTGCATTCATAGAGAATAAATAAAGGTTTGGTAACGAATGTTGTGAATAAAAAAACTGCGTGGTTGCAATTTATTTACCGCAACCTAATAAATTGATTCCTGTCGAAATTGACGACAGCAGAAATAGTGGCGATGTTTAATCTTGTTTCTCTGGTTTAGTTGTTCCAATGTTTTGTTTCGGTCGAAGGGAACTCTCACTCGATGTATCAAAATCCTGTCATTCGCAAGAAACTGGAAACAGCGAGCTTGAACCAACACTATCAGTCGTTTCTAATTTGTGTCACTGTCAAGGAAGATTTGTCAGCCATTTTCAAGCTGGTTTGACTCGAAACGCTTTAATATTGGAGCACCATCATGTCTTTCAAGTACTTTTAGATGTTTCACGTTTTAGACATTGAATTGGGCGTCACTCACAAGCTCACTTCCCATTAGCTATCGTTTTATTTTGTGTGTCTCATGGCATAAACGTAGGTCATTGTCAAACTGATTGGCTTTTAGACGCTTCTTTGTCCTGTCATTGTCATGCGTGGAATATTTGTCCTTTTCAGATTAACCTGTTTTTTGATAATCCAATTTTTTGGCTTTGTCAAACTGACTCTCTGACATCTCGTCATAGTCCTTTTGACATAAATTCTGCAGAGTCTAGGTCTTGTCATAAACGCCTTTGAGATAGATATCATTCTCAAGTTGACTCCTTCTCAGATGTTACGTTCTTTTGTCATTGTCACCAATTGAATTGTCAAATGGACGTTACTTGATGAGATTGCATGCGCTTGCACTGTGCTGAATGCCCTTCAGTAATTTCGACTGTTTCTCACTTTCATGACTGGCCTGTAACTGACTTCTCTTGAAATGATTCGCCCTTTTGTCATTGTCAACATAACTTTCCTGTAGACCATTCCATCCCTTGTGATTCTTCGCTTGGACTACCACCAATGGTTTCCGTCTTTTGTCATTTTCATGACTGAGATGCTAGTCACTGTCAAATTGACTGATCTTTGACTGCTTTCGTTTCTTGTCATTGACCCGCTTGTGACGATGATCATATCGGTTTCCCTTTTGCGAATTTTGCCGTTTGACATTGTCAGATTGACTTACCTTTTAAAGTTTCGTATTCTTTTCATTGTCGTGAATAAAATGTTGGTCATAGTCAAGTTACGTTTCCTTCAGGTGTTTCGGTCCCTTGTCATTGACAAGTAGATTTTGACAAACACTGTGCTTCTTGTCATTGTCAAGTTAATTTCCCCTTGGAGGATTTTATTTTTTGTCATTGTCAAGTTAACCTACCTTGTCATTGAAACGACTGTGACAGAGGTCATTGTCATGTTGATTTTCCTTCCGATGTTTCTATCTTTTGTCATTGTCACGTTGAGTTTACTGAACACTGTACCTCTTGTCATTGTCAAGTTGAATTTGATGTAAGTACTTGGGCCTCTAATCATTGTCATAACTGATGTGCCTGTCCTTGTCAAGTTGGACTGCCTTGAGATGTTTCGACCACTTGTCATAGTCAAGTTGAATTGCTTTTGGAAGAGTCTAATTCTTGTCATACACAAGTTGAATTGTCTTTAGAAGGGTCTAACTCTGGTCATACACAAGTTGAATTGCTTTTAGAAGGGTCTAACTCTGGTCATACACAAGTTGAATTGCCTTTAGAAAAGTCTAATTCTTGTCATACACAAGTTGAATTGCCTCCAGAAAAGTCTAATTCTTGTCATACACAAGTTGAATTGCCTTTAGAAAAGTCTAATTCTTGTCATACACAAGTTGAATTGCCTCTAGAAAAGTCTAATTCTTGTCATACACAAGTTGAATTGCCTTTAGAAGGGTCTAATTCTTGTCATACACAAGTTGAATTGCCTTTAGAAAAGTCTAATTCTTGTCATACACAAGTTGAATTGCCTTTAGAAGGGTCTAATTCTTGTCATACACAAGTTGAATTGCCTTTAGAAAAGTCTAATTCTTGTCATACACAAGTTGAATTACCTTTAGAAGGGTCTAATTCTTGTCATGCACAAGTTGAATTGCCTTTAGAAGAGTCTAATTGTTGTCATTGTCATGAGTTAGAAATATGTCACTCTCAACTAGTGCCATCCTTAGGAGTCATCTCTTGTCATTGTCACAATTGTTGTACTGGTCATTGACAACTGATTTCATCTGAAGAAACATCTACTTCTATGCATTGTCAAGACTGCTGGGCAGGTCACAAACAAAGTTGTTTCTCAGTCGTGTTTGATGGATGCTGTCACTGACATGATGTCCGTTCGGAGTCTAGACAGTGTCATGATGTGGCGTTAGTTGCCGTTTTGAATGGTTGTCATTGTCATAGGCGACCCGTTGGTCACTGACAATTCTTTTTATCGACTTGCTGTCAACTCGGCGATTGTTTCATTGGTCACTCTCAGGACAATTCTTTAGTTTTGTTGGCAAACTCCAGAGAATTGGGCGTGTGCACGGGAATCTTATTTGCTCCCCGATAAACGTGTCCGTGACGGTGACGGTGTTTCTTCAGTAAATGTTTTCTTTGAAAGCTGTTCACGCATCTTTTGTAGCTTCGGCCGTTCGGGGACGGAAACATGTTTGCCGTCAGACAATTGCATGGGTTCAAATAAAGAGCCTCGCAAATCGATCGGTAGACCCTGAGCGCTTCTTCGGAGTGCGGATGAGAGACTTTATGTGTCTGTTGACCTCACCTGGCGGAGAATAAAGAAGTAGCATTTGTAGACACATATTCCGAATGGAAAGCCACACACCGAATTGCAACTCATGTGCATATACTTACTCACGGACACTCGCATACATAGGACTCATGTACAAAACGCAATCGATTACAGGATGATACTTTTTCACTCAAAGTTGTCCGCTACTATACTTGTTCTAATGAGCTCTCACCCTCGGTACCTCGAACGCATAAATATAAGCGCACTACTAGATTGGCTATTAGGTCTCGCCGTTTTGCTGTTGAATTAGCCACCTGTGCTCGTAAGCTCTATTCTAATAGTTTTTTTCTCGCCCGTGGAACTCTTTCGATTTCTTGCTTCCCTGTCATCTACAATGTTCAAAAACTTAAATGCAACGTTAATCGCCATCTTTTTTTAACGCTTTTTTTTTTTTTTTTTTTTTATTACCCTTTCTCCTCACTAAAGTATTCGCATTCTCTTTCACTTCCAGTAACCCCGTGCATTTTAGTGGCATTATCGCCTTGCTTGGGGTGAAATGATTACAAAAACAAAACAAATAAACTTAGACCTTCATACCCGAAAAACTGGAATGTCAAAAAGACGGTTTATCCGCTTTCATTTTAACTACCTTCGCTCCTCCGCAATGTTCATTATTTTAATAAGTGTTGGTTAGAATTGTAATAAAGACTAAAAATATGAAAATGAATTTATATTTTTTCTTTGTTCTTGAGAATTAACAACAAAAATAATAAGCACTATTTATTTATTAGATTTATTGGAATGATTGGGAAAATATTGGCTAATTAGAAATTAATTCCAACTTTATAAAATGGTAAATAATAAGGATTTCCTTATAGTTGGTTCACATATTTTAATAATTTAGCAAATGTTTATAAATAAAAAGTTGTTTTCACATTTATTTCTTTATAAATTGACAAATGATAAATATTGCATTAGTTGTAATTGTATTAGTTTTCAGAATGTTGTAAATATAGAACTATTCTTATAAACAGACAATCTAATAAATCGTGTTTAATATCTTTGTTGTAAGTTCCCAAAAACAAAAATATATAAATTCATTTTCATCATATATTTATGTTTTATTACAATTCTCATCATTACTTTTTAAAATAATAAACATTGCCGAGGAGTATGTAGTTAAAGAATAACGGTGTCACAGGAAAAACCGTCCTAATGACACTGTTTTTTGTTGTTTTTTTGCGGGCACGTTTGTCCATCTTTGTCAACTCTTCTCTGTCTTCAGACAAGGTAAGCTGGTTAGGTTCCTGGAAATCGGTCTTCCAGGTAGTACCTCCCATTACGGGTAAGATCAAGAGTCACATTTTGATACTTGCGCTATTTTGCTGCTGGATATGGACTATTTATGTACTCGTCATGCTAAGAAAGGAAAAAAACCTTTCGTAGGAAAACTGGAAAATATCATAGTAAGACGTGGATGCGTACTCATATGCTTAATCAAATATGCGCAGATATGATTTATTTTTAACTAGTTTTCTTTTTCATCAATCTTTATTAATGCCACTTTTTAAATTATAATAACCATATATTTTACAGCCGTTAGAATAAACAGCATGAACTGGAAATTAAGAAAAAAGCTCCACTGACAAGATTTAAATTCTCATTATCCTGGGAGCTAGTTTTACATTACCTTGGATTGCCTTATCTTCATTTTTTATTATCTAACGAGTTTTGGGAGTCACTTTCAAGATGGCACGATTTTAAATGCATTCATTCACACGTCATCCACAGGTTTAATTTTCATTTGATTTCATTCTCTTTTGCTATTATTTTAACTTTTCTCTCTCTCTCTCTCTCTCTTTCATTCTCCCTGTTTATTTGACTCTTTTCTTTCTCATTGTTCCTCTCTCTAGGTGTTTCTATCAGTTTCTTTCTGTTTTTCCCCTTGTTTTCTTTCTCCTTATTTTATTCTCTCTTCCGCTTTCCCTTTTTCCAAGTTTCTCTCTCTCTCTCCTATCATCTTAACTTTCTCTCTCCCTGTTTATTTCTCTCTTTTCTTTTTTACTGTTCTTCTCTCTATATGTTTCTCTCTCTTTTTCTCCTTGTTTTTCTTTCTCTCGATCATTATTTTAATAAGTGTTGGTTAGAATTGTAATAAAGACTAAAAATATGAAAATGAATTTAAAGCTTTACCGTTTTGAAGATATCGACAATAAAAGTTCAGACTTATTCGCATCGGGTCCGTCCGCCATTAGTAGGATTGTTTACATACATTTGCCTCGGAAGTTTACTTAGTTAACGGCCTTTTTACTCATCTTCCTGTCTTCTTAATCATCTCAATTACTGCGCAAAACCAAAAGAAGTCTTTAGACACTTTTGAAAGTGAAGCTTTTATTGATTTCTTTTTTTAAAATTTAAGTTATTTAGAAAAGCAACGACAAGTGTTGCTTTTATAGTGATGCTGTAACAATGAATTCTTGTTTAGATAATAAAACAAATTTTTAAAATTAGACTTTCCGCAATTGCCATTGCTATTTTGTAAATAATCCTGCTTAAAAAAATATTGCTTAAAATTGTTTAAATTATTATTAAGTCCTTTGGCAGGATTAGGTTTAGGATTTATTAATTCCTTTCTAGCATTTCTTTTTATTTTGTAAATAATCATGTTCTTTTTAAATTTTGCGCAAAGTTTGCACATTGTGTGCGCAATAATCAAGACATGATTACTCGAGGCAAATGTATGTAAACAACGCCAGTAATGGCTGCCGTGCTGTAGCCGCGATGCGAATGAATCAGAACTTTTACTGTCGATAACTCCAAAACGGTAGATTTCCGCAAACTTTTACTGTTATTTTGAAATAAGCATGGAAATTTTAATTACAATTGATGTGCATGGTTAAACTGTAAATTACCCTAGATTTTTTTTAATTTAAATATTGTCATAATATAATATAATAATAAACGGCTAATAAAACAAACACTTTCCCCAAAAGAATAGTGGTGATAATAGTAATGTCAAGGTAGTTCATAGATAATCTCTACATAGAAAAAAATGGTCAGCTCCTTATACACCTGCACATACAATGCTCTGTCATTACAATGGTTTATGGCAACATCACTTTGAAATACTGATTCCTACGCGATCACCAAATGTAAGCAACGTGAGGCCTGGTCAGTACCTAGATGGGTGACCGCTTGGGAGTACCAGGTGCTGTAAGCTTGAATGTACGAGTGGTGTAATGGATAACACTTAATGGATACTACTTTCAATTGTTAATCAAAGAAGCGAGTTCGAATTCCAGTCGGGTTCATTGTATTCAATTACACAAAAATAACATTAGGAAAGGTATTAATTCACTTCTTCTAGCTATGGGATAATTAGTAAAGCATTATTATCTAAAAATACATTTACAATCTAAAAATATTTCCTGGCTTTAAATAACCTGGAAAAGGTTGATAAGCGTTAGAAAACGAATCTGTCTTTACAAGAGTCAGATCAGACCAGAATTGGAGTGTTGCAATATCTGGGATGGAGCTACCCAACCGTCTCTCTCATGCCTTCAAATGCGCTTACGCGGTCCTGCAGGTGATGAATGATTTTCCAGTCTATACCCTCTTTCCCACAGACGAAATGTCGCAAGTCGATCATTACTCTATCGCTATTTCAATGGAAAACGTTATGACGAGTTTGTTCCGCCAGTTCAGACCTTTACAACGAAGACCCCCTATGTCATGTAGACAGGAGCTAATCATCCCCCTTCTCTTCGTATTCCATTGGTAAGAAGGAAATTCCATTCGGAGAGCTTCTTTCCAAGTATTCCTGTTTTGTGGAACAGACTCCCAAAAGTATGCTTACCCACTCACTGCAATCTTAACCTCTCTAAATCTCGGGTCAACTATTACCTTATCCTACATATCCTCATAATCTACACTTCTTACGTCCATAAATCCAAATCCATTCGGTAACACTTTACCTTGAGTACGTGGTACTAAATCCTACTACTTGGACTAAATCTTAACAATTGCTCGATTCTCGATGCTTACAATAAACGGCTTCCTCTCTAGTTTATGACTGATGCGTTAATTGGCGTTTACTTAAACGCTCCAACTTACCGGTCGTATATGAAGATGTCACCTTTTTGCCCTTTCATCCTCTTCCATATATGCAAGGAGAAATCATCGTGAAAGATCGTAAAATTGCCGCTCTTTTGTAGCAATTTCCACGACCGTCGAGCTTGGTTTGACACAGAATTGACGACCTTGAATTCCACCGTTTCATTATTCTTGTGCAGAACGCTTTGAATCTTTTCAAGTCTTTTCAGAAAAGAAAAGAAAAAGAAATTATTTTAAAAAAAGAAGAAGAAATGAAAAACGGATATAAAAATGAAAAGTACAAGAAATACTAAAAGCTTCTTCTATATGTCGTGTCCATTTATGACACGTTGAAACCTTGTTCCGTCATCCATTTACTCAAGCTCACTAGGTATGTTATGCATTGTTTTCCTCTGTCTATCTTGCCTTCAATCTGTCCTGTGAGTACCAAATTTTCTGAGCCCCCTTTCCTCATAAGCCCTAAAAATTTCAACTGTCTCTTTCTGATGTTAAGTATAAGTGTCCTTTTTGTTACCATTTTCTCTAAAACGTTACCGTTGTTCACATGTTTGGTCCAAGATATCCTCAGCATCCTTCTGTAGAACCATGTTTCTGTTACTTCAAGTCTCTTCTTCATCTGTGTCCATTATCCAGCACAGTCACTGCCATATAAGAGGACTGATATTACGCAACAGTTCAATACTGTTTTCTTTGTTTCTAACGAAATATTATTGTTTCTTAATACTTTGCTTAGCTTTTGGAAAGCATCTTTCACTATCCCAATGCCCCTTCGGATTTCGGTGTCACACTTTTCGTCTTCTGTTAAAATACTTTCCAGATATTTAAATTGTTGCACTTGTTTGATTTTGGTATCTTCAATTTGTAATTTGTATGTTGGCAGTTCCTTTTGTGGACAACCGTTTATTCAGTCTTCTTGCAATTGATATTTAGTCTTTTCTTGATTTCCTTCAAAAACTTCTGTAGTTCTTATAGTTTCCTTTTTGTGTCTGCTATCAACACCACGTCATTTGCATATCTTATGTTGTGAAAATTGTGGATCTACCGAAAAAATAATCCATACTCATTTCTCTAAGCAAAGTAAAAAGAAACGGAAAAATTCGGATGAAATTCCAATCACTTGAAGAAGGCCGGAGCGTACAACGGCCGAAACGTTATGAATATGGCAATGGAGATGAGGATAACAGTCCGAATAATGTATATAATGTAAGTAATCATAATACCTCATCTCAAATATATAGATAAATAAAGAAAAGAATGCAGGATTGCAATGCAGTATCAGTCTTCTTATATGGTAGAGAATGCAGGAGAATTTCTAGACAGAGTCAGAAAAAAACTGAACGTACATAATGTGGTTGTACAGAAGGATGTTGAGAATACTATGAACGGAACGCGTAAACAATGAAGTAGTCTTAAGATAAAATGGAAACAAAAAGGACACATACTCAGAATCTGAAAGAGATGGTTGAAATTTCTGGAACACATAACGAAGAGGGGGGTCTTGGAGAATTTAACCCTCACAGGGCATATCAAAGACGGAAGAGATAAAGGAAAGCAGTGTGTCGCCTACCTGGAGATCATGCTGGATGCTGAAACGGGGCTAGGCTTTTTGGCAAAAGAACAAACATTGTTAAGAGCTAAACAATTAGGAGGTTGTGAAAATTCGGATTCATTCGCGTCGCGGGTAGCCATTACGGGCGTTGTTTGCATACATTCGCTGCAGAATAGCTATCAGTGCAGGTATCACTGCGCAAACTGATCGTATCTACGTAAATAATTCACGTGCGCAGTAATTGAGAGAAATTTAGACAAGAATGATCAGTTCCTAGCTTAGCTTTCCGTAGTCTTCCGCGCTTAGCTTTCCACAGCAAATGTATGCAAATAACGCAAGTAATGGCTGCCACCAACGACGCGACTGAATACCAAATTTCACCGCCGATAACACCAAAACGGTAGATTTTATCAAATTTATCAAACCAGATTCGAATGGAGCATGTACAGTTACTCATAAATGTAAGCATTTTGGAAATTTTTAATGCGAACTGAGCACAGGTGTTACATTGCATATTAACCAAAAATGTGACCATAATAAATATAAAACTAAAATGAAAATGTAAAAAAGCCCAGTCCGTCTCCCATGGCATGGAATGTGACTACTATTTTATTTTTTTATTTTTTTGTTTGTTTTCCTCGAAACTCTCCGTTTACTGGCAGACGATGGCTCGCGTACCACACTTTGAGTAACATTGGTCTAAAAAAAATCAAACCAGGACAGTTTGCAAAATATACTTTCGAGGATCACCAATTATCTATTCCATAGTGTACTCTTTAATATCGCCAATGCCGTTTTAATATCGATTTAATACGCATAGCTTAGACGTCGCACAAGACTGAAAGTATGGGGAACGAAGTGAGGATCGAACTCATTATTCAGTCGTAATTGATCTTGCCAGACAAGCTTGCTAACCATTACGCCACGTCGAAGTGCCCCGTAATTTTCTAAACGTAGCTTAGATGTGGCACGAGGCCGAAAGTAATGGAACCTAGTGAGGATCGAACTCACTATTCAGTCGTAATTGATATTGCTAGACAGGCTTTCTAATCAATATACCACGTCGAAGTATCTGTGTGGCAGATATATACTTCCCCTTCCCAGCAATCAATAAAACTGTCAAAATGACCAGGGGAATTTTGAGTCGCATGAATCTCCCCAGCCTTTATCTTAAAAACAACTTAAAAGAGGCTGTTTGACCAACACAAGGACTAACTAAAATTAACGATTAAAAAAAAACAAATGAAAACTAAAGTTCATTTTCTTCATTCCTGTAGTTCACTGTTACTAACAAGCAGGAATTTTTTCTCCTGATGATGGCCATGCTGGCCGAAACTAGTTGTGGAATCTAATTGAGCGAAACAGGTTTGCTAACCATTGCATAACATTGAATTGCTCCTCAGAACTCCCTTGGCAGTGTGAATTAAAACTTATCTTACCTAACTGCTTTTTTCAAACAAGATTTTCAGTTCGCACTAAAAAGTGCCACCACCGTTATGTGTCCTTCGAGGTCGGCCAGGGGGTTCTGGTGTCGTTCGCCCTTCAAGAGAGGGGCAGACTTACACCGCGATGCCTCCAGCTCCGACTCGCTCGGCGACATTCCGGTCACTATTGCCGCCGTCGTCAGAGTGACAAGAATCAGGCAGATCATCGGATGCTGCTTCCCCGATGACCACATCCTGACCTTTCACCTGTAAAAGAAAAGAAAATGAATTGAATAACTTGCTATCGCTTATCTTCAGGAACAGCTCGCAAATAATAATGGTGAAAAAACTTAACTAGTACAAGACTGGGGAAACTTGTTTATTAATCGATATGGAACAAGCACCACAGAACAGATATTTAAACTCCAAGTTCTTGCAAAAAATACTCGCAACATCCAGAAAGTCTACTATGTCATCGTCTTCCTCTTCTATGTGCCGCATCACTTCAGGTCTTAGGCGATCATGGCTCGCCACAGCTTTCTATCCCTTGTGGCCATTAGCAGTTATCTTCACTTTGCGAAGGCTCCTGCAATGTTTCGCAATCCATTCATACAAGCAAAGTTTCTACCATGTCATCGTCTTCCTTTTCTGTGTGTCGCGTCACTTCAGGTTTTAGGCGATCATGGCTCTCTATAGCTTCCTATCCCTTGTGGCGATTAGCAGCTAGTCACACTTTGTGAAGGCTCCCGCACTATGTTCTACAGTCCAATCATACAAGCTCGTAAGGGGCACCTCGACGTGGTGTAATGGTTAGCAAACTGGTCTCGCTACAACAATTACTACTGAGTAGTGAGTTGGATCCTCACTGGGTGCCCCATACTTTCGGCCTTGTGCCACATCTAAGCTATGCTTAGAGAATCGGCATACAAGCTCGTAAGCTTCCCAATTCAGTCACTCAAGTTCGCTCTCTTCCCTATATTCTCGCCCTCAATATACCCAGTGAGGGTTAAGTTTTCCAAGCCGTCTTTCCTTATTATGTGTTCAGAGAATTTTTCAGCTGCCTTTTCCTGGTTCTGGGTATAAGTGTTCTTTCCGCTGCCATATACTTTAAAACTTCTTTATTGCTTACTCGTTCCGTCCATAGAATTCTCAGTATCCTACTGTAGAACTACATTTCTGCTGCCTTCATTTTCTCCTCATTCTTCCATACAGAACAGATAACGCATAGCAATCCAGCCCTTTTTCGTTGTTTTTATGTCTTTTTTATTAATTTTCTCAGTACTTTGTTTAACTTTTGGAATGCTTCTTTCGCTAGTCCAATGTGTGTTTAGATCTCGGTGTCATATTTTCCATCCTCTGTTAAAACACTTCCCAAATATCTTAAATTCTGCACCTGCTTAATATTGACACCGCCAATTTCTAACTTGCATCTTGGATTTTTTTTTCTCTTGCTAATGATAAGACTTTCTATCTTCTTGTCGCTGATAGTTCCTTTTTCTTGCTTTCTTCTACTGTCCTGTCCAGGTGGCCCTGTAGTTTTCTTTTTCCGTGTCGGCTATCAACACAGTATTATCTGCATATCTTATACTGTCAAGATTACGCTCACCAATAATAAATCCTGGTATGGTTTCCAGTTCCAATAGGATAGTGACGCGGTTGAATAAATCCGGAGAGAAGTCGCATCCTTGCCTCACCCCCCTTTCAGTCGTTTGTAGCTACTCAATTCATTATCTATGCGTATGCAGGCAGTTTACACCCAGTATAAGGTCTGGATTATTCTACCATCTTTTCTAAATAGATCGAGTTTTCCTAGTAGTTCAAGTAGATCCTTCACTGTATCAAATACTTTTGCGTAATCTATAAAACAGACTTCAAAAAAGGCCTCTGACAGAGTGCAGCACGAGGTATTGCAGGCAAAAAATTAACAAATATGAATAAGAATTTGACCTATACTCTCCTGCAAGAATATCTTTCTGAAATCACAGACTCTTGCGTGCATTAAACTCGTCAACAATTCTGCAAACCACAAAATTTGGATATTAACATCAGAATTACAGCGAAGAATCCAAGCATTAAAAATGAGATGCTAACAATTCTAAGTTAGATATGGCACAAGGCCAAAAGTGTAGAGCACACAATGAGGATCGAACTCACTATTCAGTCGTATTTGATCTTGCGAGACAGGCTTGCTAACCAATACACCACGTCGAAGTACCTGTGTGGCAGATATATAGGGCTCTTGGTAGATATATAGGGCTCATGCGGTGTTTTGCTAAAAATTAAAAAATACAACACGAGACGAATTCAATTTACTCACTCCGTCACTATGAATGTGACCGTTACACAGTTCACAAAATCATTCTCCCTGTTGAGTGAGTAACCCAACAGGAGAGTACCTGTTTATACATGCGGATTAAGTTTGCCAAGTTGCATCTCGTCCATGCTGCTTGTTATTGATATATTCAAAACGGTTGGATAATCTTCGGACATACCGTTATATTAAAAGTGAATCGGTTAATATAAAATTGGCCAAGGATTTTAGCAGTTATAAAGAGGAAAGTTTAACTCGGCTCATATAGGTTCACCGCCCCTCCCCCTACCGAAACCAGAAACACTTCTAGGAAACTGCGCACTCCCCCCCTCAGCAGTATGGTGATTTTCTAAGCGTAGCTTAGATATGACACAAGGCCGAAAGTATTCAGTTATGACTGATCTAGCGAGACAAGCTTGCTAACAATTATTCGACGTCGAATTGCCCATGATTTTCTAAGCGTAGCTTCGATATGGCACAAGGCCGAATGGGTAGAGCACTCAGTGAGGATCGAACTCACTACTCAGACATAATTTAAATTCCCAGGATCCCTCGTTCTTGCGCATGTGTAGTCGCACCAAAGTAACAAATGTCCGATGAAGTTCTAAAGGACAAAATGTGTCACACAAAATACATTTGTCATACATTACATGCACACACACACATATATATATATATATATATATATATATATATATAATTAGACATGCTTGCGGAGGTGTTGAGGTCTCACTTATACACACATCCATATTAATATATACACTTACACACATCATACACACTCCCAAAGAAATAAATGATGACATACACTTAACACACACACTTCCCCTTTTCAGCAACCAATAAAACTGTCAAAACCCTCCACTAAGGAGTACGAGTACTGGTAAACAGATCTCAACACGGAATAAACACCACTGAATCTTCCCATAAATGGTCATTTTGTTACCCATAATGCACTGGTCTTTGCCTATAAAAACTGTTTCCCTTCACTTAGTTTATTTGCTGACATCAAGGCAATTCTTACAATCACACTGCTTAGCACTCCAAATACAGAAAGAGAAAACTACCACTGAATTCCCCTACAAAAAAGTATGGGACGAACTCACTATTCAGTCGCTTAATATAAAATTGGCCAAGGATTATAACGAGAAAAGTTTTAACTTGGCTCATATAAGTTTACTGTCTCGCCCCCAACCGAAACTTGTAGGAAATGCCTAAACCCCTCAAGCAGTATAGTGATTTTGTAAGTGTAGATGTGTCACAAGGCCGAAAGTATGGGACTTCCAGTGAAAATCGAACTCACTATTCAGTCGTAATTGATTTAGTGAGACAAGTTTGTTAATGATGACACCACACCGAGTGCCCTAATTCTCCCTTATATGGTCATTTTTGTTACCCACAATGCATTGGTTTTTACCAATAAAAAAAAACACTTTCCCCTCATTTACTCAATTTCTATGTTGTCATCGAGCAAAGTGACACTTCTTTTATTAATTTATTCAAACAACGTACGTTTATCTTAGTTTAGCAGAAGGCCGCAAGCATGAAATCCCAAGTGAGAACCGAAATTCACTATTAATGGTATATCGAACCAGGCTCGTTGACTGTTACCCGATGCCAAGGCGCCTACATCATTAAATTAGAAATAAGCAGGTAACACATAGGGCCTAAACGCACAAAGGAGCGATGTCGAAAAGGAAAGAGTGAGGAAGCGTTCCCACCAGCAGTGAAAATCGCGTAGACTCTGATATCAAGGAACTTGAGAACTATCTGGATGAACGGAGTTTCTCTCGGGGAAGCACCATGCCTGTTGGGCACCAAGACTGTTGGGCCTCAAATTCACACCCGACCTCAAGTGGAACTGGTACACATGCGATCCATTACTAAAGATACAGATCCAGTAAGTACCTGACCCCTCCTGCTATCCTCTATCTTTACAAGAGCCAGATTAGGCCAAAAATGGAGTACTGTTGTTATATTTGGGAGGGAGCTGCCCAGACCTCACTCTCCAGCCTTGATAGAGTTCAAAAGCGTTTCCAAGTCCTTGTGGGTGATGAACTATTCTTCACTCTTCAGCCTCTCTCCCACAGACGGAATGTGGCAAGCCTGTAGCTGCTCTGCCGCTAATTCCACGGAAAGTTTTCGGACGAACTACATTCCCTGGTCCCGCCCAGGCAAACTTCACAGCAAGAATATGCCACGTCACTTATATAGTAGCAAACCACCCACATTACCTCTGTATTCCATTGGTGAGAAGAAAGTTCCACTTGAGCAACTTCTTTCCGTGGACCAATGCCCAGTGGAACCGACTCCCAAGAGGATGTTTCCCTGATCACTACAATCTTAACCTGTTCATGGCTAGGGTTTATAACCGTTATATTCCACTCTTATACACACAAAGCCTCCAGAGGTAAATCTTTACCTCGAGTGGCCTCCGGGCCTCGTTGTAAAAAAAAAAAAAAAAAAAAAAAAAAATACGCAAGCCAAGCCAGAGTCATGAAAAGATACCGAGGTTGAAAACTGTAAACAGAATTATCATAAAGACAAAATCAGGAAGCACGAAGTTGAATTTCAAACAGACCCCCAGTACAGGCCCAGGAGACCGGATTTGTTGATCGTAAACAAAGAAAAGATTTATCTGAGAACGGAAACTGCTATATCCCATCAAATAAGGGAATGGAACTGAAAAGGCGGAAAAAATCCGGAAAAAAATGTCTTGAGCTTGCAAGGAAATAAAAAAAGTAAAAAAAAAATATAATAATAATTGCACTTGTGATCACCGGTACGCTTAAGAAAAGCCTTGGGAAAAAAAAAAATTAATAGAAACCCGAGAAAAATTAAAACCATGCAGACGACAACGTTACTAAAATCAACTGTAAGGAATGCTAGAGAGAGTATTACTTTCTGTCACTTGATCTCCAGTGAATGTCATTGCTTTTCAAATACTAGTAAAACTGCGTCATTTTTTAATTCTATGTTTGTTTATTCTTTCCAGTTAGGTAGTTGGTGGATAACGCCAATAGTGGTAATATTCAGTTTTTAAATATGTTGGGGTTTTTTTGTTTTTTGGGGTTTTTTTTAAATTTATTTATTAAAAAAATGTACCGTAGATTTGTATCATCAAATATCGAAAGATAAAGGATAAAGTATCTGAAACATCATGTCTTGTTCGTTATTCCAATAAATTTAATTAAATTCAGGGTGGGGGGAAGTCTCTTTATCTTTTAAAACTAACAATTAAATTAATTTTAGGTTTAAAACAAAAAAAAAAAAAAAAAAAAAGGAAAATTTAATGCCTGTTTATCAAACTTTCTCCCACCGCCAGAAAATAACTTCTTGATGTTGGTAAAATTCTAAAAAAAGTGGTGAGTATGTTCAAAAAGTCGCCGTAAAAAACAACATAGCATGAAAAAGGCCCCAACTAAACTTAATAAAAAGTTTTTTTTATTAAAAACAAAGTTTTATCGTGAAATGTTTATGTTATTAACAAGGAAAAGACCAAAGTATTTTTTAACTATTTTTAAAAATTTTTTATTTCTTTCTAGAACGTTTGAAATTTTAGCGCTTTTTTCAGTTGAAAAACACATTAATTTGGAAATTCTTGCAAAAATCAAATAATTGTCGGATTTTCATGAAACTTTCAGAACTTATTCAAAAATGATTGAAATTATTTTATAAATGTTTGATTTTTAGAAAGTCTTGGTAAAAATATTTTTTACATCTGTTTACCCCCTTACTTAATTTTATGAAAACTTGAAAACTCAAAATATGTGTACTTTTGTAATATTTTAATTAAGAATATATCGATTTTGCTTTGAAAACCAAGGACTGTTTCTACCGAAACTTTAGCTCTGAATTGTAAAATACAAAACCCAATAAAACTAAGATATCATTTAATTAAAAAAATCTTTTAATGGCTTTTATGAATAATATATAAGGACATTATTGTCTGAAGGCAAAATATTTTTTCGATGAAAAATGAATTTTTACAAGAACTGTTTTCTTTTTTTCAATTTTAAATACAAAATGTGATAAAGTTGTTAAGTATTTGAAAATTAAATTTAAATATGTGTATCTCTGGAAATTCTTTTATAAAAAGATCTGTTTTTTTTTTTTACAGATCTTGAATTTGAAAACTTTTGTTTACAAAGTCAAAAATGGCTAACATCGATTTTATGTAAATTTTACTGACTTAAAAAAACAACAAAAAAAAAAACAAGATTTTTAACTAAAATTTCGGACGTGCTAGAAAGGATTAAAAATTAAAAAAAAAAAAACATTCAAAAAATAATTTGGTCTTTCCTTTTGATAATAGCATAAACATAGACGGTAAAAAATTGTTAATCAAGTTTAGGGCATTTTTTCACCAGGGCATCTTTTTTTAGTGAAGTATTGAATGTAGTGGGCATTAGATATAGATTTTAAAAAGAAGGAAGCTTTATCCATATAAAACAGGTTTAAATAAATTTCCCAACCTCTATGGACAAAAACAGATGTTCAGGGGGTGTCATGGTTAGCGGATGAGAACGAGAAATAAGAGAGCTGAGTTCGAATTCTAGTCCTTCGTTACTTGATTTCAAATATCTTTGGAAAAGGTATGAATCCATCTCTTTTCCAGTTTTGGATTAAATAGCAGAGTAGACTGGGCTCTTCAGCCTCGATTGGCAATCAGTCTAGAAGTAGAACTCTGAAATAAAAAAAACGACAGGGTTGGGTTTGAGGCTAGTAACTGCACCCCGTAAAAATTACTACTAACACCACGGCGGCAACGCCTTCCGTGTTGAGATCTGTTTTTTTACCCGTACTCCTTAGTGGGGGGGGGGTCTTGAGAGAAGTATCTTATTGCTTAAATCTTACCTGTCGATCTGTGATATAATGATAAAGTTCTTAATTTTATTTTTATATATCTTAAAAATAGATTTAGATAGAATCATTTTCGGACTTTTTTTTTTTGTTTTGTTTTTTAATTTCCACTTTACAAAGATTATTTTATTTCTTTTAACTATTTATTTTAGGGATAGAAAAGAATTATCCCCGACCTAAATAACAAGAGAAGAAAAACAAAACAAACAAATAGACGCAAAAAAAGAAACGCCTACTTATATTTCTAGGTGAAATTCTAACAAAAATGAAATTTCAGGGCGTCTCCTTTCTCAAACGACCGTTTTTATGAGGGAATTAGTATTTTTCTAGGTCTAAATATCGTATTACTGTACAGTACAGTGTATGTACATCTTATTCTGCCAGCAATATTTGCCCACTGACAGCCCATTTTTCTCTGATCTCCAGTGCATTCTTTATAATAAAAAAAATAATCTTCGACGTATTAATTAATTCACTTACAATGTATTTCAATAATAAAACCACTTGCAATACATTTATTTGCATAGTCCGACTGTGTCAGTAAGACATTTTACTACGTTGTGTCCACTGATAATCCGTTTTTCTCAGATCGTAAGTCCTGATCGAAAATAAATATGCTCAAATTTGAGATTTTGGAGGACAGTTTGATGAATAAGTCTCGGATTTTGCAGAAATATTTAGTCTCTTAGAGTTGAAAAATGACGAAAGCGAAACAGATGGTGAAATATTGTTAAAATTAGGTATAAGGCATAAAAAGTATAGGCTTAAAAAGATAAGTAGGCACTGGGTAACGTTTAAAAAACGCTTTTGCGTATACAATTGGATAAAGTAGGCAAAAACAGATAAACAAACTAACATTATTGTATCAGTTCCTCTCCCTTTATTGTCAAAATGTGACACAATATATGTAGTTATTTAAAGTGAATGAAAGACTTGTACACGTCGATCCGGGATATCGCGAATTAAACATTTCGTAGACAAGCTTTGTGATCTAATGAATGTCGGCGAGAGTTCGAATTCCATTCGAACATTCACTGAGGCGAAAACACTCTTCTTGGGGTAGATATGGATGCATTTCTTCTCTCCCCCAATGCTATGTGGTGAATGGGTCCTATAAACTTAGTTGGCAACCATTCTACCGTAGAAAGAAACGGGAAAAATAGGCGGGTCAGTCATGAATGGAAAGGGACATGATCGCCCAAGCGTGTAAGACATAACTATTAAGTTGAAAATATATAGTACTTCTTTTCGGAATTGTGAACCCCACAATAAGTCAAAAATTTTGAAAAAACATCAAATCATTGTTAATGAAAAATCTGGAAGAAAAATTAAAATCTCATGAAAATACGTTTTGGCCACTGCAAACAAACACATCAAAAAGTCCGCAAATTGTTTTGTTTGCTTAAAATAAAACAAAACCAAAAAAAAAAAAAAAACCTGAAACATCACAAATAAGCTAAGAAATTATATTCTCCCCTCCTCGAACTAAAAATGCATTTAAATAATTAATCTGAACATTTGATGAAATTATGAACCAAAAAAAAAGTCTCGCTCTCTCTTACCTTGACGACCTGCTTGCTTGCTTGTTTTTTACGTCTGAACTAGGTTTGGGACGCAAAGCGAATTTAGAGAGCTTTTATATACGACGAGCAAGGACGGAAACGCGCGCGTTCGCGTTGTCTTATCACATATCACGTTGGTTGCAGCAGGCCAGCTGTGGGTATAGCCTTACGTAAAACCAACATTTTTAAAGCGTGTCACTAATTTATATAGGCTTCTGTGTATGTATGACGATGTACACTTTTTTTACGTCTACCACTTCTATCCATTACGAAATAAATAATTGCCACTTGATACATGAAACAAACTTATTCCATAAAACACGGTGTGGCATGATATATATTTATCGGTCACGCATCCTGATCTCCCCTATTTTGAATAATGAGATATTCCGTTCATAGGGTAACGTGAGATATTGCACGATACCGAAAAGTGAACATGGCATGTGTTAACAGTATCTACATTGCGTTTTAATTTGTTATTTTTTTTATGTTTATTATTCGTGCTTTAAAAAGAAGAATATCTTTATGTACGACCATGGTGTTAACTGGATAGAAAAAATTCCTAGATTTCTCGTGCAAAATATTTAACGACTGCAACTGAAGGTTTTCCATAATATTTTAAAGGTTTGGATAAACGAGTATATATGTAATGTGTATGTGGGAGCTAATCATAAAAGTATATATAGCCCAGCCGACAGCCCAGCCACCAGCACATACGATTTTAGTATAGTGGTGAAGGCTTTGTGCAGAACCAACCAAACTTTGTGAAGGGCCGAATACAGAGACGAGATGCACCACGTGCCACAATGTCCCAAATAATCCTGCGCAGGTTTGGAAATCAGAGTTTTCCTTCTCCTACACCAGCTGCCATCCAAGGATATAGAACTTAGTCTGTCCTGCTATTTACCCATAGCTGGAGGGTGAAGAAGAGAATTCATAACATGGCCAAGGATATTAGTAAATGAATGCAATGAATTTGATTGGAATTCGAACTCGGCTCTCAGACTCCTTAGCACACCAGCGTGCCTATATATATATATATATATATATATATATATATATATATATATATATATATATATATAAATATATATAAATTATAATATGCCTATATTATATATATATTATAATATTTATCTTATAATATACATGCTTATATTATATATATATTACATATAGACGTATAATATATATTATAAAACTATATGCATATATTATATATATATGTATATGTATATATATATATATATATATATATATATATATATATATATATATATATATATATATCATGATATATCATATAAATATATTATATATATTTCATAATATGTATATTATATATATATATTTATGATATATCTATTATATGAATATATTATATTCGATAATAAGTATATATATATTATAATATATAATATGTATATATTATAAATATATTATAATACATATAATATGAATATGTTATTTATATTCAAATATATAAGTCATATATAAATTATAATATATATGTATATATAATATATAGCATTATATATATAATATATATACATATAATATATTTAATCTCTCTCTCTCTATTATATATATATATATATATATATATATATATATATATATATTACAATATATGTATATATATTATTTATTCAAAAGTTATAACACAACTATGTTATAAGATCACTGCAAAAACAGCCATTATGTTTCAACACCTCTGTTGTCTTATCAAGTGATGGTGTTGATTGCGAAAAAATTTTTTTTGCTCATGGATAATATGTATATATTATATATATATTATAATATATATGAAATGTATATATTACATATGCATATTATAATATAAATAATAACTATATATTATACATATATACAATATGTATATATTATATAAATATATTATAATATATATTATATGTATATTATATATATATATTAGAATATAGAAAATGTGTATATTATATATATATATTATATATATATTATAATATATATAAGTACATGTATAGTCCATATATGTATAGTATATATATATGTGTATATATATATATATATATATATATATATATATATATATATATATATATATATATATATATATATATATATATATATATATATATATATACAGGTCATCCCATAAGTTCTGTCCGAATTTTAACTTTTTGTTAAAATGATCGAAATTTAAAGAGTATTTTATAATGTCTAATGGAGCTGAACATTATTTTTATGTTTTGATGCATTTAAACTGATCAAATTTTATTTCAGAAAACAATAAAATTAAATTTTGTTTGATTAAAACTCTGCTAGCATGGAAGTACCCAAGAATCATTTGAGACACATAATGCTTTATGAGTTCAAGAAAGGAAACTCAGCAGCCGAAGCGGCTAGAAACATTCACTCAGTTTATGGAAAGGAATGTGTGAATGAAAGAACTTGCAGAAGATGGTTTGCAAAATTCAGAGGTGAAGATTTCACCCTTGAAGATGAAGATCGAACCGGACGTCCAGTTCAGTTTCTTGAAGCAGCCCTTGAAGAAAATCCTGCTTTATCAGTTGAGGAATTGGCAGTGGTTCTCAGTTCAAACCATACAACTGTTCATCGTCATCTTCAACAACTTGGAAAAGTTCCTAAACTTGGAAAATGGGTGCCTCATGAATTGTCTGAAAATAACCTCAAATCCCGAGTTGACATCTGCTCTTCTCTCCATTCTCGCCAACTTGTTTCACCTTTTTTGAATAGACTTGTGACTGGCGACGAAAAATGGATCTTTTATCGAAATGTTAAGCGTCGTAGACAGTGGCTTGGTAAAGGGAAGGACCCCAGCCACAACCGAGAAGGGAACTACATGGGCAAAAGGTTCTTCTTTCAATCTGGTGGGATCGCCAAGGAATAATCCACTTTGAATTCTTACCACCTAATGCAACAATTAATGCTCAAATGTACTGTCAGCAATTAAAAGCGTTTGAACCAAGCTTTGAGTAGAAAAAAAGACCTGCTCTAGTGAATCGAAAAGAGGTGATGTTTCATCAGGACAATGCGCGACCCCACACAGCAAGAATCACGTCACAAAAGATCGAAGAACTTGGTTGGGAGAAAATTCCTCATCCACCTTATTCTCCTGATCTTGCTCCTTCAGACTACCATTTGTTTCGTAGCTTACAGAATCATTTGGAAGAAACAGCTTTTGTAACACAGGAAGAGGTTAAAACTGACATTTGTGAGTTCTTCGAATCAAAGCCAAAAGAATTTTACAGTAATGGAATTAGTAAGCTTGTTAATAGATGGAAGGAAGTCATAGATAACCAGGGAAAATGCGTTGATGATTGAATCTGTAATTAAATGTAACATTTGGTCACTTGTTTTCTTTACTCAAAATTCGGACAGAACTTATGGGATGACCTGATATATTCTCTCTCCCAGAAACTGTAACTAAGGTCTGCTCAGCATAGTTGCAGTAAAAACCACAGGTTGGCTCTGTGGGTGTTGACCAAACACAAATGTTCCTGAGAGAGAGTTTGCAATAGGGATTAGCTTGCCGCCCTAGTAGACGGGTATCCTCGAATACGAGTGGCCAGGTATTATACACACACACACACACATTACATTATAATATACTAGAGTGTCGTCTCTCGTCAAATCAGGTGCCCATTCGGTGCAATAAATATATGCGAATCCTCGAAGGAGCAAAGTCGCTGTTTGCTGAGAGAATGGGGCATCTCATAGCCTCTAACAACTTTGACGGCTCTTTAATAGGGCATTAAATAACTGTAAGGTCTCTATTCCTCTTCTCTTCAATCGATCTGGGGTGTTACTATTCCTTTGCTGATAAGGCTGACTAGTTTGGTCGTAAATTCTCATCTAACTCTACTCTTGACTCATCTGTACTCTCCCTGTCTAAGTTCCCATTTCCCCACTGAGTCTCTGCTGAGTGATATGCATATAACCCCATCGACGCTTTCCGTTATCTTCTCTAATCTTGATCCCCAGCATGTGGACCCGTTTGTATACCTGTAATAATTAGAAAGAATTGTTATACCTAGAGTTTTTTGAATTTAAGAGATCTTATCGATTTCCAGTTGGGCTAGTTAGATGTCGCCGTAGGTTCTATGCTAACAGTTTCTTCTTTCGCACTTCTCCTTTGTAGAACTTAGTTTCTACTTCATGCTTTCCAGCCAACTTTAATCTTCAAAAATTTAAATGCAATGTCAATTGATATCTACTGTCCTCATGATTAGTCTTTTCTCTTCTCGCTCATCATTATTGTTTCTGTTCCTAATTCTTCCACACCCTGTAGCCCCTTGTGTTTTAAAGGTATTACTATATTGCATGGGGTGATACCGATTTATATATATATATATATATATATATGTATGTATGTATGTATGTATAACGTATATATATTATATATAATATATGTATATATTATACATATATTATATATAAAATATATCTATAAATTATATTATTATAACATATGTATATATTATAAATATATTATATATATAATATATATATAGATTATATATGTATAATATATAAGATATGATATATACATATAATATATATTATAATATATATAATACATACATATAATATATACATAGTATAATATATATAATATATATATATATGCATATAATATATATGTAATATATACATATTATAATATATATATCTAATATATAGATATATAAATGTGTATATTATAAATATATATATATAATATACATATAATGATAATATATATATATATACACACACACACACGCAGTAATCCATCTTTTTATACAATTTTCAATGAAAACGACTATCAATGACATGATTTTCCATTATTATTATTATTATTATTATTCCCATTGATTTCTGTTGTATACACATTTCCTTCCAGGTCTCAACCAGAGGGCTTAGGTCAGAAATAGCTTCATGACATTTTTCACTGATCATTTTCGTAAAAAAACAAACAAATATGATCACACACATTTTACATAGATAAACCTCTTCTTCTTCTTCTTCTTCTTCTCATCATGATTATTATTATTATTATTGTAAGAGGTATCTTCTTGCCAGCGAATAATTTTAAGTGTCTAATTACAAAGTCCCCTCCGGGTGTCTATTATTAAAAGAGCATTGTATACGAGTTATCTACGCACATTTGGGCCGTTTCG